GATGCAGCATTGGATAAGAAGTTTACGATACTTTACCAAGACGTGTACGCAAATAATTCTCATGTCACCAAGTCATTCTACGACAAACTACGAAAGCATTATAGGAATGGCGATTATAAAATTAATAAAATTGTGGATGACTTCTTCAAAGAAGTGCTAAAGAGAATGTATGTATATGTAAAAGGAGGGAAGGCATCGGATTTTGATATGGACTGCGTTTCATTGACATATTACCAAATACAGCCATTTGGAAAAGTCCCAAGAGAGATAATTCCTCGGTTAGAAAGATCCATCGCTGCAGCTAGATCATTGATCTATGGTTTAAAAGTTGGAAATACAGTTGTTGAGAAGCTCAATAACGATGGATGGTTTTCTGACAAATGTTTGAAATCTGTTACAAAAATGAGCCAGTGTTCAATTTGTGCTGGGTACAGTAATCTTAAGCCATGTGCTGGACATTGTATCGACGTTTTTACTGAATGCCTCTCTTCATTGACTAAATTGGAACATGTCTGGGATGATTATCTCTTCTATTTAACTTTTCTTGGCTCTAAACTTTCCGCAGAATATGATTTTGATGCGATCACTAGAGAGTTACCTAACGATATATCCTTTGGAATCACCAACTGTCGAGATGCACTTATACAAAAAATTATACCCAAGGTCTGTAAAATATTTTTTATATAACACAAAGGGCCATTTCACTCCTATAATCTCGTAGATCCAGAAAAATTCCAATATAATATTTTTGAAAAGCAAGATGACTTGCCAAGCATATTCATTGAGTATTGCCAAGCATATTCATATACTTGCCAAGCATATTCATATACAAATGGCGTACGCAAATCCTCCATTACTCTACTGCTGGCGAGCTGGAATTTAAAGGCACAGTGCAGCCTTTTGAATGATGGTTTTTAAGGCGCATTTCAGCCCTTTTAATTGGAAAAACTAACTAGGAAAATCAATTAAGCATAATTCAAGATCAGCAAACTCAATGTTTTTAACAATAAAAATGTTTTAACATGTTAAAAACATTAAGTTTGCTGATCTTGAATTGTGCTTAATTGATTTTCCTAGTTAGTTTTTAGTGTGAAGTTTCTTCGAAACTTCACAGTATTGTGATGACTGGGGGGGGGGGAATTCAAACTTATCAGTCAGTCATACAGTAAACTTTCCGGGAGGTGTATACGATTTATGTTTGTAGTGATTTATTGTGCTTTGTCAGTACTTTGAAGGTTATTTAAGCAATTTCAGTTAACTTATTTACATATTCTGTTATCCTTTTGCCAAGTTCACAAAAATTTCGAGGAATCGCTTTTGTTATTGTAATTTTTTCTAAATTTTAGAACATTCGCTTCTCATATTGTGTAAAGGATCTTTACCCCGGAACACCCGATTTTTCTTTAGTAGGGCAAATGCTCATGCGCTATCAAGCCGTAGATACGATGGCGTGACGATATGCTAACAGTCTTGTTTTCAGATGTATATAAAACATTTCAGACGTGAATATTGAGTAAATTTTCGAAAATCTACGCAATATATAAATTGATCTCATGCATTACGAGCGTTCAATTAGCCGATAATAGTTAGACGGTATATTCATTATACAGAGCTAGGAAGGAGCTAGACCGCCTAGACAGTGCAGTCAACACTCAAGTGTATAAACATTTCAGACGTATTAGGGAGTGGTCATTATTTATGGGGAGGGGGGGTTGGGAAATGGGGAAAATAAGGATTGAAAACTTTTTTGACCCCCCCTCCAGACTGAAGGCAAACTTTTTGTGCCTCCCCCCTCATAAAAGTAGAAACTTTTCTGACCCCCCCCCCCAGTGTGGATTGAAAAATTAACAGCAATGAAACAGGTGTGCGTTGCAGGTAAAGTTAGATATTAGGACAATCTGTTTAATCTAGCTCATGATGTTTTACCCTGGTGAATATGATTCAACCATATATGATCACAGGGGGTCCAACTAACAGCTTTGTTATGAATAAAACATATTAATTAAACGTAATATGAATAAAACATCATAACGTAATATTGCACTTACTTGTATAAATCATAAGAGCTTGCATTTTAATACAGTGAATAGCTTCAAAAACTTGCTTCGTTCCAAAGACTTCAAATATGGCGAATAAATTGACAAAACGATAATATTACATGACGTTCCAACGAAAATAACAGAAAGGATTGCGAGCGGAAAGGCGAGGAAAGAAATAAATAGAAGGGATGAAACAAATATCACGTGACTTTTTAAAATGCTTCTAGACTATCCGTTTAAGCTTTTTGTGGGGTTTTTAAGGCTCAGTCGATGTTCTCTTACATGAACAAGCCTAGTCATTACCAAAAAAGCACCGATCAATCTAATTTATGTGATTTATAACAGCGAGCATTCTTGGCCATTATCGCGAGATGTGTTCCATAAGTAGCCTGTTCTCGTGACGTATGACGAAATAATAATAAAACTAAATAATGTAAAAAAACCCGTTGGTCGCTACATTTAAACATTTCATATTAGCCGGTATAGCTAAACATTGTTTATTTTCATTAATTAAGCGCGTAGGCGTTGTTGGAGTTGGCAGGAGGCGTTTTGGAATTTTCCGAGAGAACAGGCTACTTATGGAACACATCACACGATCGCATTACCGGTGTTTCATCCCTATTAATATATATTACCCTCGCCTTCCGCTCGCGCCCGCAATCCTTTCTGTTATTTTCGTTGGAACGTCATGTAATATTATCGTTTTGTCAATTTATTCGCCATATTTGAAGTCTTTGGAACGAAGCAAGTTTTTGAAGCTATTCACTGTATTAAAATGCAAGCTCTTATGATTTATACAAGTAAGTGCAATATTACGTTATGATGTTTTATTCATATTACGTTTAATTAATATGTTTTATTCATAACACAGCTGTTAGTTGGACCCCCTGTGGCCTGCCCCACTGAGACACCGATGATTATACCAATTTATTGGTATAAATCCAAATTATTTGTCGCGCGCCGCAAGCAAAGATTCTTTGCCGCAAGCACTCAACCTATTGTTCATAAATGTTCACATACTAGTATATAGAAAATAGAATATACCTAAGGTTGTTGTGGGTACAAAATCCCGTTGGTAAACTTTATCGTATATACAAACATGGCTGATGGCTAGCAAGATGCATGGTGTCAAAAAATGCAGTTCGTCTGTCGAAGTTCTGTCAGTTCTCCGAGATTTCCGTCGCACAAAGAAATTCTGTGACATCACTTTGAAATGTGGTGAGCGAAATTTTTATGCCCATTGTTGTATTTTGGCTGCTGTTAGCCCATTTTATTTAGCCATGTTTCGTAGTGGCATGTCCGAAGTGAACTGTGAATTCAAAACTGTGGACTTAGCCTTTTTATCTGTTAGCCCGTCCGCAGTAAGCGTTGCTCTTGACTATATTTACGGTGAAGTTATAGAAATCAATTTGGAAAACGTTTTTGAATTGCTTGTCATAGCCGATTATATGCTTCTCAAGGAGTTAAAAAATGATGTCAGCAATTATCTATGTGAATGCTTATCTGTAGAGAAGCCTGATTTGTGTTTTGAAACCAGGCGTGTTGCAGAATTGTATGGGTGTAAGGGACTTTATGAGGCAACAAACTCTTTTATCAATGCGATGTTTTATCGACTTTCGCACACGTCTGCGTTCTTGGAATTGAGTGTAGCAGAATTGGAATCTTTCCTAGAATCTGACGACCTCTCCACCAATGAGCGTGAACGATTCGAAATCATTTCGAAGTGGGCTGCCAATTCTCGAGAATCCAGAGAGATGGAACTTGGACGATTACTTAATGAGTATATCCGCCGACGGACCCTTTCGCCAATCGAGTGTCGCGAAATGTTTGATCGTTATGAATTATTACCAAATCTTTTTATATTGGATATGTTTGAAGAAAGATTCTTCAGACCAGATAATGTACGCAACGAAATGCATCGTCAGGGGCGGCAAGGTCAAGAAGTGATTCTAGTGTTTGACAATGACAAACCGCAAGCATATATACCTGGTCTAATTCCCTGGCACCCAATCACGCCCATGCCGGAAACTAGGGAACAATTCAAAGTTGTGATGTTAAACAATTTGGTGTATGTTATTGGCGGGACAACAGGCCAGACAATAAGTTTAACCGTTTGGCGATACTTCCCTTACCAAAACTTCTGGAAAACTGCCGCACCAATGCTGAAAACGGCAGCAAGTTTTGGCGTAGCTGCATTAGCTGATCGCATATATGCTACAGGGGGTCCGAATGCTAAATACAACATGCAAGTATATGACCCTCTTGATGATGAATGGTTTTTTGGCAAGCCAATGCAGGTCAAACGAGTATACCATTGTATGGTCACCTTCCAGAATAAATACTTGGTTGCAATTGGAGGAAACATGCCTACCACAGATTCACTATATTCTGTTGAAAAATATGACAGGGAGACAAGAACCTGGACTTATATGCCACAACTAAATATCGGTCGAATTGAGGCAAGTGCAGTAGCACTCGATGACAAGATATACGTTGTTGGTGGTTACAGCGGGTCATCACCTCCCGAGCTCAACAGTTGCGAAGTTTACGACAGTTCAACTAACAAATGGTCGTTAATAGAGCCCACAAACACGCCAAGACGAGATGCCGCAATTACAGTCTATCATGGTAAAGTGTATATACTTGGAGGAAATCCTAAGAAGGGGTTGCCTAATTTTGAGTACTATTGTGAGGAAACTAAATCTTGGAAGACTGAGGAGTCTGGAAGCTTTAGTTCGGGTTGTCAATGTTGTACTGTTACCTTAAGTGGAAAATGCATTTGTGAACTGTATGAGCGTTAGGCTTAATTGTTGTTTGATTTGCTTGAGGAAATATATTTAACAAGAAATATCATTTGAAAACTACTAAAGGCAAGGCAGCATGAGAAATAGCGGCGGGTTGTATGAAGGCCGGATGGTGCTATCCATCGGATATTGGTTTCTCCAATTTGAACCATTGTAAAAATGCTCGAAATGCTATAAAACTCAAAATTAATAAAAATAAACTTAATTTATAAATACTAAAGTGTATAATCCAGGTTATACACAATCCAGTGGATCGCATTATTCGGCTTTTGTACAACCGGCCCAGAAAGCCAATTATATCTTATGCCTCGCAGTATACCGATTATCAGCTTTTACTGATAAAAATCTCATCAGCTCATCCCTCGCTAAAGGCAGTGAGTGGGCCCGGTCCAGTACAATCGGCCAACTTCATTAGCTAACATAAAAGAAATCTATTACCAATAATATATACATTTAATAATCAAATTTTGTTAAACTATTAAACTGTAAACTATATCATATTTTCATTTCATTGCATTCTAAATTATGTACAACAATTTTTAATTGTGTTATGTATGTCATATAAAAAAATCAGAGAGTGTTGAAAATTCAAGAGACTGTCTTCCCGAGACTCTAAAATAAGTCAATGACGATACTCGTTTATTGCTGCACACATATTTTTTTTGGATTTAAGTTGCAGCAACATTTAATGTCCACACCCAATTAGCAATCAATTGATATAAAATAAACTTAATGTTTTCTGACTTGTAAAATTTCTTAGAATGCACATCGCCTTTCCAGGAAAGGACAGCACATAAAAATTTCTCAGTTTTGATAATTTCCGGCCACTCTTAAGAATAGAACAACTATAGAAAATTTTATTCTAAAGTAATATATTCGTATCTAGATTCTAGCTTTTTCAAACATTTGTGTCAGTAGCGTGGACATTGTAACTTCGCCCTCCAGTTGCACGCGGACAAAATAATGATAGCCTTTATTGCACACTTCTCGAAGAACTGGCAAACGAAGTAATATTTTTGCAAAACGTCCGGGTTGTTTTTGTTCTCCGTATGCTTTTAGCGTTTCCATGATAATTTGACATTGTCTCTCAACTGCTTCTCGATTCACCAGACCTTCGGTATCTAAAATTAAGGTAAATCGGTGTTTATTTAAATTTGGCAGTCAGAGTGTCTAGACACAGACCCCAAGCAGATTAGCTAGGGAACAATTAGGCTTTCATTTAATGCCGGATGATTTTACTCTGTATAACGCCAGACAATTTTCGTCTCTCTAACGCCAGACAATTTTACTCTCTAGCTCTAACGCCAGACAAATTTACTCTTCAATGGGAACATGCTGCCACTCAATGGGTTAAACACCCCAAAAATGAAAGTGTTGTATACCAATCTAAACCTACCACAGTTGAACAACAGAATGGCATTCAAGCAAGCAAATTCACTTTCGTCGATCATGAGCGCTCGCAAGCGCTGGACGACATCCAGCATTCCATCGACCAACTCTTCGCTTAGAAACATATAGCACTCCTCTCTCGACAACACCGTTGGCTGATTCATGTGCAAGCTCTCCCCGTACGGCATCGATCTGTATAAAACTCTGAAAACCTGAAGCTCCATGGCGGCCGATGACAGCAATTTAACTTTATCCTCTTTGATCAACTCGGAAAACCCTGGAACAGCCTTTGCCCAATCAACGATCAGCTTTAGTTCGAGGGAGAGACCGTTCGATAAACGAGTGAGGGGGATATTGATTTCGGGATCTTGTAATGGGGGCCTGAGCAGGTATTCACCCGGAGGTATGATGGCAGGGGACGCGGCTAACAACTGTTGTAAGATTTGTGCTGTATCATGCGGAGTGCTCGGCTCGCTTGAAGGACTTGCTGCTTCTTCTTTCACATACTCTGTTGAAGACTGAGGGGAATCTTCCTCGGCTTGTTTTAGGGGATAAAATGATCTTCCCCCTCTCTGACGATCACCTCGTACACCTTGGAAAGAAATCATTAATGCTACTGAGTTTGCTTTTTCAATGCGCAACCTTTTAAGTTTGTATTTTATTCTGTCTAATGTCAGACAATTTACTTGTCAAGGGGACTTGCCCATGCATTGGGTCATTCCAGAAAACATCCACAGAGGAAATTGGGAGTTAACTCCCTACCCCCTTTGGATGTCCTAATACACTTACTATTATCAGAAACAGATTTTTCTCCCTCTCTGGACAGCAAAATTGCCTCCATAGGGGGAGTGTGGATCGTTTCTGGAACAACCCATTCGGTTATTAAACTTTAAGTGGCAATGTGCCCTGATGCGCCCTACTTTCTTATTTATCCTGTCTAACATCAGGTTATCTTACTCTGTCTAATGCCAGATGACTTTACTGGTAAAGGTGAGAGTGCTGCCATTCAATCGGTTAAATGAGTTGAAAGAACAGTGGGGTTTTCAAAACAACGGAAGAAAATGGACATTCCGATCACTGAACTGTGACAGAATGCCACTATATTTTTATGTTAATTAAGTGTAATGCAAACAACCATCCACAATACAAATGTATTGCTTGATTTTACGACGTGTTCGCACGTGGAAATCGACCTTGGCAGACAAGAAAATGAAAGCGGAACCACATATATAATCCACGTTTCCTGTACGCACCCAGCACTACAGCTGCGAGACAAATTTTAGCTATACAAAATACTACAAAAGCACTCAACCCACTAATGATTTTCAATATTGCGCTTAAAATACGTCCAAACAGCGTTGCTAGCACAAACCGGAATTTCTAAACTGTTATTTTACCACGCAAAAAATACGTAATTCATTCGTCTCTTTCAATTAAACAACTTGGTCAAGAGTCACAAAACAACGATCCCATTATAGACCATTATAACAGTGAACCAAACGGCTATATCGTCAAAACATGATCGTGTTTTTAGCAAGCAAAAATTCTTCACAATTGTAATATATATATATATATATATACTAAAAACTGCATGACAAATTGAGATGTTGATATACATTTATATAGAATATATAAACAACATTAATTTGCTACATTGCGATTCGTTCTGTTGAGTATATGATCAGACATGCACCTAGCCTTGGGGTGATCGACGTTAACATCTAAACATGTAGACTTTTAGGTTTAAGATCGGCTTTGTTTTGATAAATAAAACCGCTAAAACGTACCTCCAAAAACCATGCCAACGCTTAGGCATTTTTTCAACCTGCAAGCTTGACATTTCGCTCTGGATTCCAGCGTAATTTCACAGCCGTCGTCACCATTTTGGCACTGATATTTCTCAACGAGATTTTTTTGTACTGTTCTTTTGAAGAAGCTCTTGCAGCCCTCGCAAGCGTAGCATCCATAATGATAGCCTGTCGAAGGGGCTCCACAAACGGCACACAAGTCCTCGTTCTCTGAGCCAGTAGACATTGTGGTTTCGATTTGAAGCTATATTTGTACTGTATCAAAATTTACGAATGAATCGATACTTTCGCTGCAGTTTATAAATGTAGCGAAGCCTGATAATCGGGCCAGAAATTGCATTCAATTTTGTCCAGTAAGTTGAAATCCACGTTACTATGCTCTGGCAATCCACGTTACTATGCTGTGCTTATAAAGCAACTACTTTCACCTTGAACGACACGAAATTGTCAAAAGATATGTAAACTGTTCACGAGTATTCCTACGCATTTCCGAAGTGGATCGTCGGGAAATTGTCATCCCATTGTAAGCAATGACGTCATACATTTTGCCGCTTGTACCGTTCTGCATTGTAATGCCGGATATGAGCAATCAGCAATTATTGTACTGTAAATATCTTTTTGTTGAGTGGAATTTCTTGTTACCAACTGGTAACTTCAGAGTCCAAGGTCCTAAGACCACAGACCATTTAATTCATCTGTGGTCTCAAGGCCTTCGGTCTTATTATAGAACAAACCCCCACAGACAAGGAACCGGTTCGCCCTGGGGTAAATATCAACAACATACATACAATAGGTGAATAGGAGGGATACAAACTACAGTACGTACCTGAAAAACATTATATAAACACATGCAAAGATCTTTCGAGCCGAGTGGGTCCTCTCAAAACATCGAAGTTCTCCTTGTATTTTTTAGGTTAGATCCGAAGCTTTCTGCTTTTTAGATAACGTTAACATGGCTCTTTGTTCGAAATTGCGTTGCAAGTCGCATGCAAAAAGTCGCCTCATAGCTACACGAGGCAATTTTTGCGCAACTTGCAATGCAATTATCGATATAGAGCCATGTTATCCTAAAACGTAGACGCAAGGAAATTGTCAGCATGTCTGCTAGCACTTTTTGTTTACATAACATACTCTTAGTTTCTTTAGAAATGGGATGAAAAATGTCGGTAGAATAAACTGCTTGTCATGTTAGGAATTTTGCATAAGTAAATTTTAAGTTTTGAAGGATTTATAAGAATTGTTTGAAGGATTTATAAGACTCGGCATTTAACACTAACTCAGTTCCCTCAAACATTTCTTACAATTCCTTCAAAACTTAGAATTTACCTGTACAAAATTCTTACTGTGATCACAGAAACTTTGATAGTGTAAACCAGCCAATTAGCATGGCCTCAACTGTTTGGTAAATCTGTTCCTAACTCGACATTTTAATATTGGGCATAAAACTTTTACGCCCTTATAATATAATAGTCCTGACTGTTCTTTCTCTTGAAAACGATTACACACCACTTTTCCAAGTTCCTGACTAGCTTGTCCCAGCGCGTTGTATCATTTAAATCCACCACCCATGACAAGTGTCAATTTGTCCCCCGGATATCAATTGCAATGTCATGCATCAAGTTGAACTGCAATGCGTCCTATCTAATGCATACCTAATTTTAAGAATTTTTTATCACTGCACATTTTATGCCAAAAATTTCCGTCGCCAAAAAAATTTTGGTCAGTGTACCATTTTAATGGTCAAAAATTTTTTGGCGGACATACCAAAAGCCAGATATTAACTAAAAATTGCCTGAATCT